TTCGTTGCATTATTTATGCAATTCTGAAGACGGAAATTGATTACATTTAAAATACAGAAAATTTCTGAAATTTTTTATTCAGTTTTATCAACAGTAGATCAATTTAGTTTTTAATACGAATCGTATTATGCGCGAAGCGTAAAATATTACATGATAGATCGGGTACGATTTCGTTTTAAAAATGCAAATTTCTATTGATAATCAGAAAGGCAGTATCGATGTATCTACAGTTATTCTCAATAAACATTGCAGGTTAAAAATGTTCTATCGTTTCATTTAATCCTTTGACAGTTGAATATGTAGATAAAGGGCGGAAATAGTGTGTATTTTTGTAATGTATTAATTTACTGAATTTCTTCCATCTGTAGTAAGAAACAAAAAAAACATATTTTACACTCATCTTTTTAATAGTTGTATATATACCTAGAATTTTTTGTTCAATGATCTTTGTAAGTAAAATATTACTTTATATAAAAAATAGAATCATCTTTTGGCACTAATGAATTCGTCAACTGTAGTGAAAATACGTTTTGCGCAACCGGTTTTGGCGTCGATATCATTCCAATTTCAAGAGGAAATTTGACTTCTATTTTTCACTTTAGAGAGTATACAGCACAACCCCAATTATCTGAAATAATAAAGACAAATCAGTTTTGATAAGCGGTATTTCGAATAAGTAGTTTTGATGAACCGCAGTTCTATCTGTCATGAAACCATTTAAAATAAACTAATTTTTATTTCAGTACGTCTAATATTACCACAAATGAACATATTGAATAACACCTGACGCATTTTCAGCTTCGCAGTGTAATGTGATAGTACACGGTTTCATCATTTCTTCATTCATGTTATTGTTTTCATTGAGAACAATATGTGATACACTATTATTTTCTTCTACAATTTTATATTTTGGATTACTTTTATGTCTAGTCATGGCTACATATTATCATAATTGCAATTTTCTATCATGTATATATATAGTCTTTTACACTAATTTTTCTATAAACAAATGTAATTCGTTATCTGTTCTGATAATTCGTACTTCAGATGATCGCAGTTTCTGATAATCGATAGTCGGATGAACAACGTTCTGCTATATAACATAGTCGGAAACAAAAGAAGCTGTAGAGAATAGTGCATGCAACAATAAGCTTTAGTCGTCTGAAGAATATTTATTGTTCACTAAATAGTTTTGATTTATCTGGCTAAAATTTTTCTTGGTCTACATTAGCCATGCCCAACGGAAGCTTCGGAGCTTTGAAAAGTTTAACTTCTTCTCCCACGTTGTCCCTGTTAGTCCCTCTACTTTACCTCCATTACTTCCTCTACCTTGTTCGCATAAATCCAATTCCACGTGATCGTTTACTATACAATCAGTATTCAGTGCAGAGAAGCTTATAGCAGTGCTCGAGGGTCCATCTGTGGACAACACTGACAGTGAGCTATAAATCTTTCGACACCCCACTGAAAGAAATAGTTCTTCACCCCATTCTTGCTTCTCAGAAGTCATTGCTAGAAACATGAGCATATCTTTATTTTACTCTTTAGCTGGTCAAAAAGTACTACCTGCATACCTTTCTCGTGAATAGAGTCTACTAATTATTAGTATTTTTGGTCGCTATAGTAACAACGTGTAATATTTTTCACTTGTTTCACGTAGTAAACAAATGACTGTACAGTTCTGCCTGTTTAATAGATGCATTTTTCCCCGTTTAATTGACGCGGAGTTATCCCCATCAATTCTTAAAACTACTTCCACGGAGCGAGCTTCGACGTTATCTGTGCTACACATCGTAAAACAGCTAGCCGTTCTTTCTATTTCACTCACACTTAAGGTTTGTCACGCGCTCAAAAAGTGAATGAACCGCAGAGCGATAACGCCCGGCAATTCTTAGAATCTAGACATCTACCTCCCTGGATAGCTGTCGCAACGCGGACCCGAGCTTGCGTCAATTAAGCGGGTAAAACTGCAATTCCCGTCGATGACTATTAAATTTCTTCTAATATAATGTATACAAGAACGCCACTATGGTGGCATTTCGCTTTAACACGTTGAACATCGAGCTCAGAACCCGTAACTCGATACCTCTATCTGTGAATATGGGACATAAGGTCAATGTCCCTATTTCTAATCATGTCCCGATTTCTGCTCAGTACGTATATTTGTCATTTAATGTAAAAAGTTAAATAATAAATTAGTTATACAAAATATTATTTTAATTCGTTCAATATTTTTGTACAAAATACTACAGCCCGCTATTCAATAGGTGGCAACATTTTAATAGAAAGAAATTTAATAAGTCTGCATTTGTACTAAAAAAAAGTAACGGAATCTTTAATATTGTTTTGGCACTTCCAATTTTCGCTAAGCAGAAATAGGGTCACATTTGTGAGCAGAAATGGGAACATTTCATACTTCATATTAAATTAACTATTATTAAGTTAAAATGTTTTTAAAAATACTTTTATTTAAATTAAATTATAAAGGGATGTTTAAATTTTATATCTGATAAATTTTTTTGTCGATTGTTGCATAAATAAATAATAAAAATCAATTGTTGCGATAACAGAATTCTTACATGATTAGAAATAGGGACATTGACCTTATGTCGAAAGTCAAAGATCGGCGAAATGTGAATGAGTTTGATGTCTGTTTGTTATAACACCAGAAAGTTCATCTAGCAATAATCCAGTAACGACAAGTCTTCTTAACGAATCGCCTGCGCTCCGCGTGACCCCTGCACGCACAGGAAAATCCACGCAAGTGTTAAACAATCATTATGCGGAAAACCACTGTGGTGGCGCGTAGTAGCTAAGGGGTCAATCAGATGCTTATACTTATACTATATGTATAGATAGAACAGCCCTGTCCAAGAAAGAGCCCGCGAGCTGTTGCAGCCTCCCCACCTTGATCTCCTGTTATGGGCACTACACCGCCAATGTACCATTCTCTGTCCAACGTAGCATGGGACAGATATCGCTCTGCTAGACGCGGTGGGGAAGTACATGAGAGGTTCCTCTTGTGGGATAGCCTGGTATATGTATAGGGTGTTTCAATAGGAGTAATAGATCTTTAAACGGCTGTCATTTGTGAACTATCCAACGTACGTTCATGAAAATTCAACAGATGCAATCAGTAATCTTCGGCAAATTATCATGGGACGATACAGAATTCCGCAGCGAGAAGAAATTATTCGAATTTACTATCAAAATTCGCTTTCAATTCAAGCTACGTTTCGCACGGTCGACATCATCGACATACTCAAGTCAAATTTTAACCAAATGTGAAATTATCGGCCCGGTGCAAGGTCAGACAATACCTGTACGTCATCGTAATACACGCTGAGCCGAGAATATTGTTGCTGTTCGTAGTAGTGTGACCGAGAATGCAAATCTGTCCGTTTGGCGCCATTCACAACAATGTGAAGGGACCACGGCGATTATGCGGTCTAACACTATGTCACTCATTTCTTTGGGACTACGTTAAGTCGAAAGTGTACAAAAATAATCCACGAACAGCTGTGCAACTCGAAAACAATATTCGCAGAGCTATTCGTGACATAGAGTCCTGATTATGCGAGGGAGTCATCAGAAATTGGAGTAAACGATCCATGCTGTCAAGAAGAGCCGTGGTGGCCATTTAGAAGATATTGTTTTCCACTATTAATGCCACCAAACACACTTCATAATAAAATTAAGATTTCAGACACATGTCACATACTTTTTCTTTTCTTTCATTTCAAAACTCGATCAGTCCTATTGAAACACCCTATATATCCAGTAAACTTGTTTACTAGAGGTAGCGAGTTAACCTGGTGTGCACTGGGGCGACCAATGATTTTGACAATGAGAGCCCCTGTGGAGTCAGCGTTTTGTGGAGAGAGTAGGGTACACGAATAGGGAGAAAAAATAGCCGATGGGCATTCTATTCACCTACCTGTAGCCTAAGTTTCGTTGTACAGGTGAACAGATCCATGAACTGTGCTCGGACAGACATTGCCTTCTGCTAACTTGCCTGTTTACATCAGTTAACACTTAACCCTGTCACTGCCTACGTCACCGTCATATACAGTGCTATCTAAAAAGTTGGGATCAGGTATTCTGTTGGGATTTCTTAATTCAACAAATGCTTCATAGTATCATTTGGAGGGTACAACGTTCATTCTTTTAAGACTCCAAATATATAGGTATCTGTTTTCTAATACTTTATCACAGTGTAAGTACATACATATTCTCATTTCAACTGACACGTGACATCAAATTTTTGTTCGATAGTGTTCGTAACACAATATTTAGATTAAAACTAAACTCTGAATATTATGGTAAAATACTGAGTGAAGGAAAATTAATTCAGGTCTGTGATATTCGAGAATGGTAACAGTCTAGTTATAGTTACGTATTTAGTTTCCGAGGATCCTGTTTTATTAAAAAAAATTACTTTAACTGCCATTGTGAAAATCTCACCACAGTTTATGACAAATATGTTGTCCCGACTTCGTCTATTAATCACAGAAAAAATAGTACCCATACTTCGTCTGTAATAGCTGTCTACTGTTTTTAAACGGTTGCACCCGTCAGACAAAACTAAACACAACGGCGATAAGGAACAATAAAGGAACTGACCTGCACCGCCAATTACGAATGACTCTACCGACCCGATATTTTGTATTATTCATTGGCGCACATAATATTTACATTTCGTTACTGATAACACACGCCGTTACCTGATGTCCCAAAATTCCCGTTTCCGCAACTCGATCGTGAAATTGACTCCGTCGCTGAAGTCGGTTTCGAGTAAATCGATCCGTACGGGCTCGGCAAAGGGAGCACGGCCCGTTAATCAATGGATCGGTGGATGCGAACCGGATTAAGGGAATGATATTTCGTAGACCGAGAGGAGGGGACGGAGTGTCGGGAGGAACGAGTCGCCATGGGTACACTGTATTGTGGCCCGCGGGTGTAGTGCGAACGCGTAATCAAGAGGTTGGCCGAGTGAAAGGGGTTAGAGTGTCGGGAACCTGTGTGAAGGGAAGAGGAAGGAGCGACGAGACTCTCGACAAGGAAGCAAGACGGAGAACAAGCGTGGACAAGCGTGACCGGCGAGGCTCCGGAAGGCTGCTCTCTCGTAGTAAGGAGAGAGAAAGAAGTCCTAGAGAGACGAGGACAGGAAGAATAATAAGGACTTCGTGCTTCCGCCTTGATCAACAGGACGTTCGGGTTTACTTTTGGTAAGTAGAAAAAACTTGGATTCTCTTCGCCTGGGTTTAATCGGACGATCTTGCGATTCACTTGGGGATTTCGGTGTAATCGAAACCATGTAGTAACACGATGAAACTATGTAGGTAATTCTCCATAGTTGACTGAACGCTTAACTACTATTTCATTGGTAATCAAATTTTTTATATATTTTTTGAAGAAATGTAATAGTAACATGTATACTTTAACAGTTTTTGCGGAAGACTGAGGCAGATTCGAACGTGTTGTTTACTTGGGTGGGTAAAAGAATAGTTAGGCGTTTTATTAACACTAGAACTACCAAGCCAGTCAAAATGACTGGTCAATACATTCTTAGAACGACGATTAAAATGTTATAACAATACATTTTCTCAGATCTTTTGTAACTTTTATTACGACATGACATTAAAGAAATTAGTTAATTCATAAATTAGTAAATTTTCAAAAGTTTGTCATATTTATCGATCGACCGAAGAAGATATGCGTTTATCGTTGGTAGTTCTAGTGTTAATCGGGGCGTATTACTTAATTTTACCGAAGATTAAATGAGAATTTTAAGAAAGCTGGCACGGGTTGAACTGTCGATAGCTACGGAACGTAGGATGAATGATCGAGTTTTTCTTCCGATAATAGATGGATGTTGTTTTGATAGAGTACTATCGAGGACGGAGAAGTTTTGCGTACAATAACAAATTGGAAATGTAAAGTAATATTTATTTGTACAGAGCTTGAGTTTTAAGGAAATTAACTCTTTGATTCAGAATTACTTACTCCAAAATCAAACGCCTACTGTGAACAATACTTGCTCTGTGATTACGAACGCTGTCGAAAATATTGTTTATTTATCACGTACTAAATGGAAATATTATTTTTTTGTACAACACGTAATTAAGTTTCTATCTCGATTTTTATTGCATGCTATTATATGAACGTTATCTAATTCATTTAATTTTTATTATAAATCTTATCTGAGGCCCACATTTCTCTAGATACATATAAGTTTTTCAGAAGCCAAACTGATCCACCCCATTTTCTATCAATTTCTTATTTTTAGTTTCTTCATTCTTATGTATTTCAAGACAAATTTAAAAGATTGATTTTTGAGAGGCCCATATATGCGTTCATTTTGCATGGCGATATTAGTCATTAGGACGCATAAATGTACTGATAGCGCTCAAAAGTTGAAATATGAAAATTCGACAAGTGGTACCTGGTGTATGATCAATTAATGTGTCTACCTGTTGTTTCCAGTTTTATCAATTTGCAATAATCACAAGCAGTGATACGGTATGATTTGCTTGTCGCTGATCTTATTTCCTGCCTATCAATTTATATAAAAATATGTATGTCCTTTATAATTTCATTTGATAGTTGCTTCAATGAATATGATTTCTATTGTCTTCAAAACAACTATGTATATCTCCATAAACATTTTTTTCTTAATTTCACATAGAATTCAATATTTCAAAGATGACCAATCTTATTGATATATCGTATACCTATAAATCCGCAGTATGTATACATACGTAACCTAAATAGCGTAACGTTTATAGTCCAACTTCAACACTAAGTGCACCTACATAACAATGGGTATTCCATTATTTTTAATAATGTAAATTTAGTAGTTTTTCCCAGTCTTGTGAGTAATAAAAATTACTTAAAATCTAGAGATCACTAAATAATTTTTGTATAGAATTATATACGATTGTATAGAATTTCTTTTTTAACAGAATGAAAACTGTAATGCAATATTTATTACAAATTTTATCTTTTTAACCTACTCGAATCTCGTGGGGGTTAACCAAATTTATGTGATTTAATATTTTATTACGCACAAGTATTGATTTTTACTTCCAGACGAACGGATACATCATACATCACCCATATCTACATAGATAACATGGCAGTTCAATTGTTACGAAAGTCTTGTGAATTATTCGTTTCTAAATAATACTAATATTAGGAAGGATAGTGCATCGATTCTCGAGTAGATATGCACTATCACCCATAAAGATTGGTTCAAAAATATTAGATTCACTTTACTAAAAACTATGCCAAATTTTTCAAAAGAGCTAATTTTTTCACAATGTGGGTCATAAAGCAATTTTATGAATTCATGATCATTTATTAAAAATTCCTAAAGTGAAATGTAAAATGAAAACTGGTAAGTCTTTCTTCGATGGGAGGGCAAGTATTTACTTAATAACTATTGTAAATTAGGATATTTATGTATTTTTACCAAATTTTGGCATCTAAAATACAGTAAAATAAAGACTCCAATAAAATGTAATAATATATCTGTATGAGATATATGAGAATAATATACATACATGATAGTTATGAGGAATTAAGTACTTATTATGTATATAAGCTATAGATAGTAATGTATGAAGGTCCACTAATCCTTGGTTCATATGTTAAGAGTCCAGGAGAAAAACGATCATAATCACAGGAAGTACAATTTTTTAGTATTTGTAAACTCGCCCCCCCCCCCACCACTATACACGATCAGAATTTAATATTCTTCTTTTTATAATAGGTTTGTGAATCCTGTTAAGAATATTCAATATTCTTAAAAACTCTGTTCGTAAATTTTACAGAAGTAAGGTTTGTTTCTATAGTCCGGAGTTTGATCTATAGAATTGGACTTTGACAATTCTACCATTGAAGAAATGTGATATTCATCGTTCTAACCCGAATCCAGGATTTTCTGGTCTTCAATTTTTCTCGAATGTGCCCGTATTTTTCAATTTATGATGATACAGTTTGATAGATTTTGCTAAGTTCTAGCGCGGGCTGCTAGAATCTTAATTTTAATTTGGAATAGAGTATGATTCTTTTTTCCCTGGATTCTTCATGTAAATTATAGGGTAACTGCATATGATGTCGCCACGCGTAATATCTCATGAAGAAAGCATTAAAAGTGATTGGTAATGAATTAAATTAGTGGTCAAGCATGTGTAGGAAGACATAATAAGGTTGTAACGTTCTATGAGCAATATGTAGCAAATGAGTAAATGTTGGTAGTGTAAAAGTTTACGGAACCATGGCAATTGCATGACACATTGAGAGAAGGCAAGTTAAAAAATTCTATAAGTCCATGAATATTTACAAGGAGTATATAATTAATAATATGCTTCAGACCATTTAATTGGTTCCAACATTTTTGTTAACGTGACATACCTTTGAATGTAGTATTTGCTACAGATGGGAACATGAAAATTCCAAAGCTGCAGAGTTGAACTTTATGTGCCCAGCATGTAAACGCGATCGTCTCAAAGAGTTATATACAATAATTTTAAAGTATTTCTTTATTTTTATAATAACGATATTTTTTAAACATAATCCCATTAAAAAATCGTATGGCAAGAGGCCTCCAAAATATTCATATCGTTAAAAATAATAAACACACCCATAAATATAACTTTAAAGGCTCATAAATAGATGAATTAATGAGTTTTCAGGTAAGCAATATCATGTCCACTTTTTTACGATCGTGATATTTGCTTGTGTTTTTTTTTCTAATCGCAATAGAAAATATTTAGATTTTAATACTGTCGAACATGAAACACAAACAATTTCTTTGTTATCTAAAACTAATTAGTTACAAAAATATCAATTACCTTTCAATTGAGAACACTTTGAATTTGGATAAGCGATACCTATAATTAGATGCGTTTGTCCTATACGCAGACATAAGGTAAGTTTCACGTTGGCTTCGCAAAAGAGTTTGGAACAAGATCTGGAAACTGCGGGGACAGTTGACCGCAAAGTTAACCGCCGAGTATCCTTAGATGAAAGAAAACTGAACCGGTCATGAGTGGTCCCGATTTATTCAAGGATTGTTCCGACAGGGTCTAACCGGTCAATAGAAAGTACAATAGAGGTCGTGGCTAGTCCTATAAACCGTTACACCGCGGCACGTTCCTTCAGGCACCTACTTATGTCTTCTTCGCGATCGATAGAGATTATTAAAACACGCGAACTGTATTACGATACGTCGTTCCGAGGCACGTCGTGCTTCTGCCCCCGAAAGATGAGTCACGTGAGCACTTTGCAATTTGCGGAGGACTGAGTCTGACTGATCTCGTGATTGGTCTATTAAGGAATACCGAAATTAACAAGTGACGATGATTAAGTTGAAAGTTACTATGACGTGGGTGCTTAGAAATGTCGACTTCTTCATCAAGTGATAAAGAAATTTCTGTAACCCCTTCGAGACGGATTTATTTAACGACTCAATAATATAATAGCACGGGATATAATACACTGAAATATGAAGAAACAAATGGTTTAAGCATTGTTTTCAAAATGGAATATACGGTTCCATTACTCTTTTATAATGGGATCATATGACCCAATAAGTCTCAATGCTGACAGAGAAAGTTATAACTAAGGTATAAGTTTATCCATTGAAAATGGTGACATTGCAATCTTACAGAATGGTTACCAAAGTCAAATATCTAATAGGATAAGGTAATTAATTATGATATCATAAACGGTAAGGTGTAAAACGTTTAATACATTATTCAGTTTTACAGTTTGAACATACGGTTTTAGTTTGTTTTTCTACTTTGTGTGCTGAATATCTAATACGCTTATTTCTTTATAAATTTTATTCATAAAAATAAATAATTGAATTTGGGAGCATATGCCTCAGCAGACATTGTAAAAGTTACCTTTGGACGTATTGTCATGTCACTTCCGAAAGGTTGAAGTCAATTTTTAAAAGAAACCGAAAAATTTACGAAAAATAATTGTTTTTGAAGTTTGTGGAAAAGCTTGATGGATTTTACGGTATATTTAAAATACAGTTTGTTTTATATTTTTCATTTCATGTTTCGCGTCAGTTTATACGAAAAATTTATATTATTATAATGCTCACTTGGAACAGTTGTGTCTTCGTATGAGTAAAAATTCTAGTTTCTTGTATTTTTGAAGCTAGAAAGCAAGGATACCTTGAAGTGCACATGTAGACTGCGGATATTAATGT